TGGCATTATGACTGTTCACTAATCGCCTTGATAAATTCTGAGGAAATTATCTCTACAATCAGAGGTAAAAATGAGGGAAACTTTTTTGGGAGTCAAAGGAAAAGCTGAAGCACTGAAAATAGTATAGAATGATGGAATTTGGATGGGAGATGGTGTTGTGAGGACAGGACTTTGCAGTCCTAAGCCAGGATTCTGCCTGATGTTTGCAGATCAACCTCACTGTTACTGCAGTATACGGTATCCGCCAGTGCAGAGCGCCCGCACCCAGGATGCATGGTAAAGAAGCAGAGGTTAAAACAGGAGTGACTGCCCAGTGTGCATGGACAAAATGACATGTGTACATTGAGAGGAAAAGTGTAGCTTCCCTTCTAAATAGATTCCCTCCTAGGCCAAGACAAGAAGGAATGCCATGTCCTCAAATACCTGCTCTTCTCCATGGAACTGGGTTGGAGGGGACTGAGGGAGGAAGAGTCAATGACAAGTCGATGACTCTGAAATTCTGTGCATCACAGCTGAGGTATGTGGATGACACGTGTCACACCATGGGGATCAGAAATGACTTCCTGCTACATAGACAGCATGCCATCTCTAAGAACTGAAAGTGGAATGTGAAGGCTGTTGATGGCTCACAGGCCATTGGTGGTCATCACTCTCCAAGAATAGATCAATAAGGGTCAAGAGAGAAGTGTGGATGACACCTCAATGAACCATACCTCAAATCTGCACTGTCCCCCCTCACCCAAGGTGCTGTCTCTCCCTCTTCCAGGAGATGGCAGTGGGGGTAGTGCTAGGAATAGAGTCCAGAAAAGGGTCCCACTTGGAGGGTGACTTGGATTTCTGGCAGAAGCTGGGGCCATCACTGGAGTCATAAGAAGTGCTGGAAGGGAGCTGTCAACTGTGTCCAGTTGGCTCAAAAGATGGAAACTTTGCAATCTTCCATAGCAAAACAACATCAATGTCTGAGAGACGCATACACAAAGAAGGTGTAATAACACCGTCTATTGGTGGAATGGGTGCAGTAGCAGTAAGTGCACATAAAATCTGAGTGGCTGCAGCTAAGCACAAATATGACCAATTCCATTAGTGGAGGCTCTGCCAAAATATACACACCCGAGATAAGAATAAGACCATTTGTATACTATGAAACTGCCCAGTTATTTGCCGGTTCCTTCCTTGCATAAGGACAGGTCAGTGCCAAAGGAGAACTTTCTTGGCCTCAATGTAGAAATACCAAAAGAGAGCTGACCTTCGGTCAAAAGGGTTGCCAACATCTGGTTATGGATTAAAAAATTAGAGAAAATTTATAAAAGCAGGGCTTACCCTGTCAAGATGTGGAGGTAGGAGAATTTCGCAAGTTGAACTAATAAGTACTTTAGCTATGCTGGCCAGGGCTGTGGCATTAATAACTTCACTTGTACATTACACTTTCAAATACTCCTCTGCAATGAATCAGTTAAGCAGGCAACAGAGTTTTGCTCTTGTCACTCAGGCTGGAGTGCAATGGCGCAATCTTGGCTCACTGCAACCTCTGCCTCTCAGATTCAAGCGATTCTTCTGCCTCAGCCTCCTGAGTAGCTGAGATTACAGGCACCGGCAAACACTCCCTGCTAATTTTTGTATTTTTTAGTAGAGATAGGGTTTCACCATGTTGGCCAGGCTGGTTTCGAACACCCGACCTCAAGTGATCCACCCGCCTCAGCCTCCCAAAGTGCTGGGATTACAGGCATGAGCCCCTGCACTCGACTTGGGAGCTTACCTTCTAGCAGGGATGCAAGGTGGATACATCCAGCAAAATTTACAAGTGTAATATAGTGTACCAGAGATGATATGGAAAACTAAAGCAAGTGGGGGGGATGTGGAGGGATGAAATGTAAGATATGGCTGTCAATGAAGGCCTCACTAAGACAGCAATGTTGGGGCAAACGTGAGAATGAGACGACGGAGTGAGTCTTGAGGAAATCTGTACAAAGAACATCCCTGGAAGGCAGAGAGAACAGCAAGTATGAAGACCCTGAAATGCAGACTGCCTGGTCTGCAAGGCCAGTGTGCCTGGAGCAGCATGAACAATGGGGACAGAAGGTGGTGCAGATCATGTAGGTCTCACTGGCTGTTGAAAGGACTTGTGCTCTGACTGTAGGAGATGAGTTGAGCACGGGTGGACTTTATATAACTTGTATTTTATAAAGACCATTCTAGCTGCAGTTTTCAGAACAGACTATAAGGGGCAAGTGGAGATGCACAGAAACAGGGAAGACACTGGTAATTATCCAGTCAAGAGATAGTGATGGCTTGGATGAGAATGACAGCAGCAGAAGGGGTAAGAAGTGCCAGATTATATGCATATATTTTGAAAATAGAGCTAACAAGATTTGATGGCAAATCAAATGTAAAGTGTGCAAGGGAGGACTCAAAGATGACTCTCAGGGTTTTGATCTGGGTAACTGGAAGGATGGAGATGCCCTTTGCTAATATGGGAGAGACTGATGGTATAGCTAGTTTGGGAGGGATGATTGGGAGTTTAGTTTGGGACATGTTCTGTTGGAGGGCCTACTGAACAACTGAATGGAGCTATCAAGTAGGCAGTTGAATACATGAGTCAGGAATTCAGGTGAGAGGTCTGTGATAGAGATAGACATTTGGAATTCATCAGCAAAAAGATTTAAGCCAAAACTAGTAGAGATCACCTGGGAAATAAGTGTCAACAGAGAAGGGTTTCAAAGACTGAGCTATGAGACACTCTTATGTTAAGAGGAGGGACCAGCAATGGAAAATGAAATGGAGAGTTTAATTTCACTTGCTTTTACTGATAACCCACTATATACCAGCACTATAATAGGAGCTGGGCATAACATAAATGAGACCAGTGTCTGCCTTCAAGGTGCTGCATTCAAACAAATGGATTTTGTTTGAATGCAGTGTGGTAACTTCAAAAAGACATGCATCTGGCAGTGTGGGATCAGGGAAAAGAAATACTTGGCTCAGGCTGGGAGAAATAGGAGGGTCCTTGGAAGAAATAACACTTGGAACTTAAAAGGAGACTAAATGTTACCTGTGTGAAGAAAGGAGAAGGGCAGACTGAAAGAAGGGCAGAAGTGAAACAGCTGGGAACATGCTGGAAAATACGTATTTATTTGGTGCTGAAATTTCTTCATGAGAAAGTAGGAGCTTTGTCTCTAATGAGACTGTACCTTACAGTCATGAGAGATATTTCATATTAAGAAACATAGATAACCTGACTGGTGAATTATTCTGACTACATTTGCAGTTTGGTTGAAGAAGTTTGGGTTCAGCCACCAACACCAACGTTTTAGAGTTCGGGGAAACAGCCTCTGTGACAGCCAATTTCAGCCGTAGCTACGACGGGGCAGGGTCTCTCCATCCACAGTTCATTCTGGGTTGCCGCTGAGGCCATATGGTGGTTCCATTTTTTATTTGCTTTTGTTTTCATTGTAATGTGTGCGCAGCGAGCACACAGTGTTCCTAACAACAAGCAGGGAACTGTGGACGAGAAGAATTGCTCCTCAGAGAAGGAAAGGGACAGTCACTTTGACAACGCCCATTCCATGTTAGAGAACCTGCTGCACCCAACAACCAAAACACAAGCAGGAAAACAGGCAGCATGTGCCCAGGAACTGCGTCCCTCAGCAGGCTGTTTCTTAAGTCAGGGTGTATCCAATCCAAGCTGTAGACTACAGTTGAGAATCAGTATCTAGAAGTGGAATAATAACATTTTGAAGTTCATCCTCTTCTTGCCCAAATACTCTGGTCTCAAGCCTAAGTCCCGCTGGTGGCTGCTGACTTGCCCCAGTCTGATAGCATGGCAAGAAGGGAAGGCAGCTGGAGGGGAGAGAGGATGAACTTGGAGGCATTGGAGCCCAGGGCTCCAGAGAACAATGAACAGTTACTAAACTCTTCCTCTTCAGTTTCAGCAGAGTCTGTAAACTCAGTACTATTATCATCCCACTTTCACACATTATAAAACTGAATCTCAGGGCCAGGAGCAGTGGCTCATGCCTGTAATCCCAGCACTTTGGGAGGCTGAGTCAGGGGATTACCTGAGGTCAGGAGTTTGAGACCAGCCTGGCCAACATGGAGAGACCCCATCTCTATTAAAAATACAGAAGTTAGCCAGATGTGCTGGTGGGCACCTATAGTCCCAGCTACTTGGAAGGCTGAGGCAAGAGAATCGCTTGAACCCGGGAGGAAGAGGTTGCATTGAGCCAAGATCACGCCACTGGACTCTAGCCTGGGCAACAGAGCGAGACTCCATCTAAAAACAAAACAACATTGAATCTCAATAGGGTCAAGTAATGTGTAAGAATCGCCTGAACCCGGGAGGAAGAGGTTGCAGTGTGCCAAGATCGCACCACTGGACTCTAGCCTGGGCAACAGAGTAAGACTCTGTCTAAAAACAAAACAATATTGAATCTCAATAGGGTCAAGTAATGTGTACGTGGTCACATAAAATTGGTGGGACTAAAGCATCAATTCCTACAGTCTGACTCCAGATTCTCTTCTTTGACACTATGAAGAATTCTCTGAAGATACTCTTGGGACTACCTGCATGGGACTCACCTGAAGCATTTATTTCCAATGCCGATTCCAGGCCATTCATCAAATTTTCTGTGGGCAGAGCTACAGAGTAGAGAGTCAAACAGCATTCTCCATCTGTGTTCTGACCTCGGGAAGCTTTCTCCTTGGGCCTCAGTTTCCTCTCTTGTAAAATGAGGATCAGTGGGGTCACTTCCAGTTCAAAAATGAGCTGACTATAATTCATCTTTAAACCCAACAACCTGAATGCAGCCTGCCAACCAGGCCTTTACCATATATCTCGTTATCTTTAAATATCCGTGTTACCGAGTGGTATTTTAAGTACCACTAAATTTATAGTTTGATACACAAATACTCACGGAGTTTCCCTGGAAACCTAGGAGAACTGGACATCCCTCCAATGTGGCATTTTTGAGGTACAGCCCTCCCGCGGGGGAGGACTGAACAACTTCTTTAGATCTCTTCTCTTCTGCGGATTCTTTTATTCTCTGCTTTCTTGGCACTGCTAAAGACAAAGAATTCATCGCTGGTCTTCATTTTCCTTCACTCTGAAATTACAATCTAATTTAGTGGTCATCTTTTAAGTTGAAACCAGGCATCTTGTACCTCTCATTAGCTCTAACCTATGTTTGGTTTGCTCTGGGTTTGCTTTTCTGATTTTTTTCTTTGGAGAAAGGAAAGTGAGAACTAGGGGCATTGGCTAAACAAGTCTGTCCACTTGGTGGAGAGGTTTCCAGATAAGAAGGATCTGAAGGACTTCCCATGGGCGTGAGGGAAATCGCACACGCCATCCGGGGAAGAGGACCAGGAAATCACTTTTTGTTTTTAAAACAGCAGCGCAGCTCTCAGGGATGACTCTGTGAGGCTGGGAGGATCATAGCTGGGGGAGGCCTCAGTGAGGCTGAGCGTGGGAGCGGAGCTGCCAGTCCTGCCTGAAAACGCGAAATGAGTCTTGCTTGGTTCTCCCTCCACTGGGCGTGAGGCCCCCTGCCCAGGAGGCCGCAGGACAAATGGCCCCATAGCGGAAACTGGGAAGCTTTTAGGCATCTGATCAGAGCAGGAGCCAGCCGGGGCACCGCAGTGCCGGACAGGTAACAGACATTTCTCCTACTACGGTCTGTCGCTCTGTCTCCCTTTGTAGCAAGAGCTCAGGGGCTCCTAAATCACTTCTCTTAAGACATCTTCCACTTACGATCCTCTTTGCCTGCTTTTCTTTTGCGTAGCTATGATATGTATGTTGTGAAGGTAAAGTACGTCCAGTCAAGACTGTTGTGCACACTGTTGGTCCAGTTAATGAGACTATGTTAACGGAGATGGAGTATCGAGCAACTAGCTGGGATCCTTTAGGATTTTCTTTATAAGACTTTTTTTTTTTTTTTTCAAACAAGTTCTCTCATCCTTAAACCAGAAAATACTATAAAAACCAGTGCATTCATGAGCTACTGAGCTGCTGCTCTTTCCAAGAGCATTTCAGGGCCAGGCGGCCATTGCTGTGTTCGGGCTGAAGAAGGAAGAGGCCGCATCCCAGTTGCAGGAGGAGCCCCAGGTATTCGCTCAGCTCCGGGAGAGTCGTTCCAAAGGGCAAGGGATGATCTTAGAAATGTAAAATGTAGGCTGCAGCCTCCCACCCAGGACTGAGGGGAAAAGAATTTGCAGTCAGTGTTAGGAAGGAGGTCAGTAAAAGTGCGGGGGCTTCAGGGCCAGGCCGACTCGTTTTGAAAGGAGCAACTCTATGATGTGCAGTTTGCTTAAACCATGTTTTCTTATACTTCAGAAAGCCGAGCCACGCCTCTTCACTATAGCATTTTTTCTCTTATAAAGGGCTAATGTAGTTGGTTTTTCAATGAAGGTTATTTTTGAATTACACAAATAATACTTGACTATATTCTTATCGTAAAAGAATAACTCTAACTAGGTTTTATTTTTATTTTTATTTTTTTGAGGTGGAGTCTCACTCTGTCACCCAGGTTGGAGTGCAGTGGCATGATCTTGGTTCACTACAATTTCTGCCTCCTGGGTTCAAGTGATCATCCTGCCTCAGCCTCCTGAGTAACTGGGATTACAGGCACCTGCCACCACACCCCGCTAATTTTTGTATTTTTAGTAGAGATGAGGTTTCACCATGTTAGCCAGGTTGATCTCGAACTCCTGACCTCAGATTATCCACCCGCCTCGGCTCCCGAAATGCTGGAATTATACGCGTGAGCCACCGCAACAGGTCTTCTCTTAACAGTTTTCAATTGCACCCCCAATATACAATCTTTTCTCCTCCCCAAAGATTACTCTATCAATTGTTTTCTTTGTTACCAGTTAAGGGCTTTATTTTCTGTTCTTCTGAGCTCTTAGGACAAGCCGGGGCACAGGAGTACAGTAAAGTCTCATTGTCAAGTTCATGTGATGATCCTAAACTCCTTCCTCTCAGTGAAAGGATAAAATGATGCATGGGAAACATGAATAGTGCTTTTAGCTCTTAGAAAAGTCTAAAAGAGTTTTACTCATGTTTATCATTACTATTTTGTGTTGGTTTTGGCTTTGACAATTAATAATGTTAATAACAACCTCCTAAGGATTAAATTCTAGATTTGCCAATTAGTGGTTTGGGGTCTTCCCTTGAAGGCCATCAGAGGTTTCTTATTCTAGAAATGAAAGGGGAGAAGATAAAATAACAGGAAATTAACTAGATAGATAATAGCTAGTGGCCCAGAGAAGGTAAAGATCGGAGAGATTGCCCTTTTACTCAGTGGATAATAAATGCATTTAACAGATGGGTTCATTTTCCATCTCTTTTAGTCTTCTGTAAAAAAGTGGCCTTCCCCTCCCCACCAACAATGTTAAGAGACAGGCAAATAAGGAAAACATCACTATGAACAAGTTGACACAGCTTATGGAGACAGTCTTTGGGAAAAAGGTATAAATAAGCAATGTCAAATCCAAGAATAACTACAAACACTTTCAGTAGCTATTTCATATGTTCTTGTTCTTTACAGGATTTCTCCACCCCAAACTATAGGGCCATTAGGCCTTGCTGATTTTGGACATTCTGTAAAATTTGCCTGCCTTTGTCCCTTCTCCAGATCTCTGGCTACTCTGATGAATCATTTCTTCCTAGTGCACAGTGTTAGCCACATGAGAGACCTCCACTGAGGCCCTGTAGACTAACACTGCCTCACTCACTGAGTGTGGATTTATTGACTGTGATATAGTAACCTCACTTACTGTGCTATGGGGTACTTGGGAGCATTTTGGAGCAGTTAAAAAATATCCCATGGGGTCCCACCTCCTCGGGTTCATGAGGCTAATCTGTCTCCTCCTAAATATTATGCATGCAATCTCTTGTATTTATATGCAACTTTTTAGGTATCAAAAGACTTTTATGCCTCTTCTTTCTCCATGTCACAGGTAAAGCAGGCAACTTCTTCTCATCTAATGGAATACAAAAACAAGAGGTTCAGAGGTTAATTTATTTGTCTCACATGGCACAATGAATTTTTTTTGGAGGACTGAGATGAGAAGAAACTCAGATTGCTGTCTTTGCAGTCCCATTGTTTTTGTCAGTACTATGAGGATAAAAGTCACGTGGAATAGAGAATTAATGTGATTGACTGGATTCTGTCAGCTTTGTAGCCACATGGTAGATGTTTTGCTGGGAATCTAAAGTTAGACTGAACTATTGCCTTGTCCAGATATTAGCAGGTTCTATCACCTGCTGTCCATCAGCGTCACCCTAGGAACTTAACAAAAGGAAAACAATGTCTAGACACTTTGCCAGAGAAACTGAATCAGAATCTCTGAGGACGGGGCCAGGGCATGGTTAGATTTTTTTGTTTGTTTGTTGTTTTTAATCTCCAAAGTGATTCTGTAAGGCAGCTGGGGTTGAGATTCACTGAGTCTTGGCTGTGTGAGATACAGTGGTTAAACTGAGAAGCAGAAGCAATGGCTGTTTATGAAGCCAAGAAATTAGGGCCAAAAGTGTCAGCAGCAGTGCAGATCATTAGAATTCTGGCTGCTGCTGTTTTTTGGAGGAGCAGACACATCTGCACGTCAGAATGAAGAGGAGATTTCCGACACCTCCAACAATGGCACTGACTTTCCAGTTTTAATTGGAACATCCCTGCTGACTTCACTGTAGATACGTAGGCTCCCTGAGACTCGCAGATTTTACAAAGGCAGATTAAATGTTCTAGATAAACAGGATGTGCTTTTCTAATGCCAGATGACTATCGGATCATACTTTTTATTCAAGGTCATTTTGCCATGTTGTATCCCAATCCCAAGAGAAAGGGGGAAAAAAGAAATACTAATTATCCTTTGCGTGAGCTGCCACTTTCTGGGTTGCACTAAATATGAATAGACAATAAGTCACAGCTGTTTTTTAATTATAACATGTTCCCCTACAGCCTTTTCCCCACTGACATTTCTTGATACAGTTCAAGTTAGTATCTCTCGTCAGTGCAATGTTTGCCTCCTTGATAGAGAGGGCTACAGGGCCTGTTCAGTATTTCTGTCAGTTTCCCCAGGACCTACGAGTTTCTGCACAGAGTAGAAACTCTACTACTCTAATAAGGATGGTTGAGTTAAATATACATATTAGCTAAGGGCACACCATGATTCACAACTTACTTATCAGCTCAACACTTCAGATCACATGGTGTGACTCTGGTCATGATGGTTAAAATAATTGGAATCTTCACTATGTCCTAAAAGATAATCGCCAATGTGAAATCTTTAAAATTACAGCCTAGTGGAATCACCTACTCTGGAGTGACTTGCTAAGTGCCGTGGAATTGCAAAGGCAGAGAACCTCTCTTCTTAATCGGCTTAGACTCTTAGTGGAAAGCAGGTTACAGGCATTGAGAGTTTTAATAACAAACACTTTTTTTGACTTTTTTTTTTAATTGTTATACTTTAAGTTCTGGGGTACGTGTGCACCACGTGCAGATTTGTTACATAGGCATACATGTGCCATGTTGGTTTGCTGCGCCCATCAATTCGTCATTTACATTAGGCATTTCTAAGAAAAAAACAAACACTGCATGTTCTCACTCATAAGTGGGAGTTGAACAATGAGAACACATGGACACATGGACATGGGGTTGGGAGCATCACACACAGGGGCCTGTGTGTCGGGGTTAGTGGAGGGATAGCATTAGGAGAAATAACAAACAATATTTATCGAGTACTTGCTATGTGCCAGGCACCATACTCAGTGTTTTTTAAAGACGATTGTTAACCCATTTAGTTGTTCCAATAATCCTATGCCTCAGATGAAATCATACTCCCCATTTTACAGATGGGGGAATCCAGAAAAGTTAAGTAAATTACCTGAGACAAAAAGCTAGCAAATAGAGGCACGTTAGGATTCCACCTCAGGCAGTCTGACTTCAGAGTCCATATGCCTAATTACTGTGCTAGGCATGAAAACACACAGTGCTGAAAAGTGATCTACATGGCAGGACCAGATGAGGAGCTGAGGAGAGAAATGCAGTGCATGCAGTGGAAAGATACATCTCTGGGGAAGACAGGATAAGAGACAATATGCCATCAAGGTCAGAGTTCAGACTTTGGAGACAAACTTGGCCACTTGCCAAGTATGTTTATTTAGCCAAAGCTCAGTGTTTGTTTATCAACGGCTCAGTTTCTTCATCTGTAAAATGAAGATGATGATACTTCTCATAACACAGGATTATAAGGACTAAATGAGTCTAGTGCATGTGTAGTGCTTAGCCTAATGCTTGCCATATGGCAAGTGTCTGGCACACAGCAAGTGCTTGATAAATGATAGCAATTGTTGTTACCGAATGAATGAGCAAGACCTGAAATGATGAGTAAAGCTTAGAAAGGAGAAACAGAGCAATTCAGCTGCCAAGAATAGTGTGAGAAGAAGCTTTAAGGTAGCAATGCATTCCACCAGTATTTTCTGTTAATATTTATGATGAAAGAAGGTACAATAAAAGCTGGGAGTGGGTCAGTTTGTTCTATACCCAAGTGTTATGGGAGAAAAATTGACAGAGCTCATTTTACATTAGGTCGTGGTGATCATGTTTGCCTGGTGAATTAGCTTAAATATTCTCTGGGCATTTGCAAACATTTA